CAACGCAGCAGGTAAACACTGACAGGCAAAACTGGAGCGGGGCCAGGCAGAGCCTTGTACGTGTTCTGGCCCGTCCTGGAAGCCAAAGTCCCCGGCAATTACACTTGCTGCACTACAGTTACTTTTGTGGAATGCTTAATTCATGCGTGCGACTGCGGTTGCAACGTTTATGATGTGGTTATGCCGCTGTTGTTGCCGATGGTACCGCTGCAGCTTTTGATGTTGGTGTTGTTGTCCATGGTGCTGTTGCTGCATCTGCAACTGCAATGGATGCTGCTGCTGCTGTCTTCGGCGACAGCGTGCTGACATTGTTTGCTTGGCTGTCACACGGCGTATGCGTAATGAGCTTACCTACCCGAATGTTACCTGCATGCTGGGCAGGTGTGTGAGACAGTGTGCTTGGGCATGTGCTCATGCCACAATTAGGCATTCTGACTGTGGAATTTTCGTCGGACGGAGACAACTGTAGGGACTACGTGATGTTACGGATGCTGCAACACGGAAAGGAAAATATTTATGTTGTCTTTTCTTAACATTCAATAATGCAGAATCATCATATGGAGGAATATTTTTATTGAAAAATTTTCCCAGGGTGTAGATACCCCTTCCACCAGCAGGTGTCCCAATTGAAAGGTTTAAAGCGCTTCGCAGCATCAGTTGTTTCGGACTGAAACTCGCCAGTCCCGCGGACCTTTGGTCTGGTCCTGTTGACAGCTTTGCGTGCATTAACTGTCAACACTTGCCCACCAGACAGCGAACGATTGCTTTTCAAAGATTATGACAAAGTGGACAATGAAGTTTAACATGGGCCGGCATTTTCGAGGATTTTTGGCAAGTCTTTTTATTTATTAAGTAGAACTAAAGTCCTTTGACACAAGATGGTTTCTTCAGAATGTATCTCCATAGATATATTTATAATGATATAGATCATAAAATAAATAAAATGATATAGATCATATAATAAATATATCTATGTTAATCCTTGAATATTTTCCATTATTTCCAATATTTTAGGTAAAATAACCCTGGCTCTTCTAGCATTTCCTGGATGAAACGTTTTCCATCGTTATTGCACTTAAAATAGCAATCGTGGGTCCCCTGGCGAAGTGAACACAAGTGCTTCCGTTTGACAGGTTGCTGATGGGCTGATGGTCGAGCGATTTAAACGGCGCTTAAAGGTTGCGGTTCTGTGGCATCTGCGGCATGTGCAGCATCTGGGAGCGATCAAGCCTGGTTTTTTTTATCTGCGGCGATTGTGCAGTGAGCTTGTATGTATTTCTGTTTAATTAAAAGGACTTCCACCGTCACGTTTTCAGCTTTCCCATTCACTGATGTAGCTCCATATAGCCGGGATATAATTTAAAATTTGCATATAACGAAATTAAATGCAAATTACTAATGCAAATATATACACAGATATTTGTAAGCCGCCATCGCAAACAGAGACATGAATGCGCAATTTGGGTTTATTAAATTACATTTAATTTTTTGGAAAAATAAAAAACTACCAATGTCGGTGAGAGTACATATTTGTTAGTATATATATTACATTAGTTGCTTATGATAATACATTTTTGCCATCGTTTGGTGGCTTTATATCACTTGTGTTTTTTCCGTGTTCGTTTTATTTGGTAACAAATAAAATAAATTATGTTGGGTAATTAGCTGGTTGGCCATTTTGGGTATCGGTATTTATGTATTGTAATTTGTGCGTTGTATAATATCATTAATTAAATTTTTAGTTTTTGCCACCAACAATCCTTATTGGCTATCATTTTAGTTTGCTCATAATTAATTTTTTCTTTGTGCGAGCCCAGAAAATTCCAATTAAATTCTATTTCCATGCAGGGGCGTTAAATGAAAAGGAGACCAAAATGTTGAGCAAAAGAAAGAAATGCCGGGAAAATTGCGTGAAAAATATCAAAATCAAATTGTGTGCGTAAATAAATTGAATTTTGATTGGTGTACGTCAGGTTTACTGTTGCACTAACGAAGTGCCATTGTTGCCACGCCCACAAAAAAGTCGACTCACCTCGTCCAAACAGGCTCCGTCAGTCAGACTCATCTAGGCTTTATTAATGAGGATTTGTCAGGGAACTGCACGTAGAACCGTCGAACAATATGCAATGTAAATTCGTGTGAAAATTTCATTTGCTCAATTCAGATGCGGGATTACATAAAAAATCCCCCTTTAACCTCACACGGACATATATGTATCCATATATGGGTATGTATTCTAGATGGAAAGTTGGAGCGTGCCGATGTTAATAAAATATTCATGGCATCAATCGGATCCTGACACATGCCCAGAAATCAACCCATGACAATGGCAGGCCAAATTTATGCTAATGTACCAACCGACCCGGTTTTAGTTAAATTAGCAAAATCGGGAACGGCATTCATAGAAACGGTTCCGGGAATTAAAACACCATTTCACCATTTCGTTGAGAGTCCTTAAATTGTGTTGGCTGATTTGGATCGATGAATGTGCGATTCAAAAACTAACGAAGCAATTGTGTGCCGGCTAAGTGATGGGAAGCAGCAGTCTATGTATCCTTTGACAGATTTGTATGCCATTAAAAGTCAAATTCAAATGGCCATGGTCAAATGCCATGAACTCTGCCAGCCAAATCAAATTCGTTGGCCAATATGTCATTCCAGGCGTTTGGCTCTGATTCGCCTCGTTTTACCTCCTATATCCTGCCTGGTATTTTGCCCAACATCCTCCTGCAATGGCCGAGAGAGAGCCTTCTGTTGTTGCCCCAGTGATTATAGCCATTCATTTTCTTTCTTGCCCGTGTCTGTGTTTGGGTTTAATTCTCTGTATGCTCAGCTGTTGGCCCATTCACTTTTATGGCTATATTGCTTGGTCTCTCGGCTATTTGGTAGGCTTCAATTAATTAATTGACCTGTAATGAGATGACACACAACTGAGTTCTTGAGCCCACTGAAAGCATAAAAACAATTCTTCTTTTTGAGTGAATAAAAGTTCTGGGAAAATTAATTATTGAAAATACTAATTATGAACATTTTCCTTGTAAAAGTCGACGATATTTTCTCCGTAGAGTTTAAATAAAAGCCTCTTTCAATGACCATATCATTTTATTTTAAATTACATTGTTTTTTTTTGAGAATAAAACGAATTATTCTTAAATTTATCCGGAAGCATAAAGTTGTCTCTCCATTTATTTGGATAATGTTATCCAACCGATCACTCCATGAAGCGTATCGCATAACCATACATCACAGCCGCTTCCTCACGACTGTACCAATTTGGGCTTTAATGCTGTGGCATAAATCATTTTTCCGCAATTCGTTTCAATTGCATAAAAATACTTTATGCACTGGCTCCTTCGGTTGCCACTGTGGACCACCACAGAACATACTACATTTAGCTGGAAGGCGTGGCCAATGAGGCGACCAGGCCCGTTAACATGCAGGCAAATGCATTTGCCATCTACCATCAGGCTGTTATACCCAGTGGCCAGGGGGCCGCAACTTGGCCTCGGGCCAGTCGAAAGTAATGAAAAAATGCGTTTGCCAAAAAACCAAATACATGGGCATGTTGTGAAAGGCAACAACAGCCAGCTCTGGGCTCTATGGCCAAGTGAAGGAGCTGATTTTTGCCCACTTATGCAAGCATCCAGGCGAGAGAGTGTGCGGCAAATAAAAACCGAGCCCAACGAACGGCGGCAGCTCCAAGGCGGGCACCGCAAAACGGAAACGGAAATCGGAAACTGTGCAACTGTGCAGCAGCAGCAGCACAAGCAGAAGCAAAGGCATCTGTAGCGGTCCAAGCAAAAATAGGCGGCACACAAGGACAACGCCAGGCGGGCCTGGGACGGCGATAAAAGTGTTGCAATTTATGGTCAGGCTAGATGGCGCCCAAACTTTGCACCCTTCTTTGGCTACAGTTTGGCTTAGTGCTGACTGGGTTAGAGAGAAAAAAGGCTAAGATGTCTGGAAAGAGCAATAGGATTCTACTGATAAAATGCTTATAATTTGTAGGAAAAATATATGTAATCTTTATTATATAGATTATAAAAACTTATATAATCCATCATCCAGTCAACTAAATTATAAACCAAACTTATTAACGTAGGGTCTATAAAAGAACTTTCAATCAAGATGTTTAACCTTTAGAAGTAAAGAAAATGAAATTTTCCTTCTTAGTTTTCCTTCTTTTAGTCATAAAATTGTAAAAATGGCTAAATCCCAAGGGGGCATCTCTATTTGTATCCTCTGGCAGAGGCCATAGAAAGAGTTGTAGCCCAAGTCCGAGTCGCAGCCAGCTAAAGTTTCTGGCTAATTGATTTTGCGATTTTATCTTTTAATGACTTTTTCGGAAAGTGCAAAGCTAAATGCCGCGATGCCCTCCCCTGTATATATTTGATTTTAATTGCATTATATGGACTGCTTGTCTGCGCCCTCATAGCAAGCAGTTGGCCGCAGCAATCCTGAAAGTATGCTGCGAAATTTTTATCTACGCTTTGGCGTTTTAAAACGCTAACAAAACGCGTTCGATATCGAATTTGTTTCACTTGCCAGCGGAAAGTGATAGAGGAACGAAAAGAGGCTTTGCCGCCGCAATCAATTCAAAATGTCATCAGCAGGAACAGCTGAGCTCAACGCTGTCATTTAAGCTCGCCAGTTAAAGATATCTATCCAGAAATTGATGGAAAAATAAAAAATAAAACCTCTGACCTTCCTCCTTCCGTCTTGTTTATGGTTCTTTGAGTTTTAATCTTTTTTTTTCCAATTTAAGCTTTAAAACAGTCTAAAGGATTAAGTCATAAGACCCATGCTACCCATGCTGATGAATATATGATTTCAATGTCACATTCTTTATTTTATGAGGTCATCTACAATGAAAAGTAAGATCTCTCCTGGCCGTAATTAAACTTTTAACGCCCCCTGGGTAATTATTTATTATTAAAAGACCATTAAAAATTGTATTGTTACTGGTTGTTTATTTTTATTTGAATGCATTTGGTTTGTCTTGACATTGGCAGTTTTTTCTTTCATGTTTACAGTTTTTTATGATTTTTTTCAATCGTTTCAACGATTCTGTTTTTTGCTTTAATTTCACTTAAACATTAGGTTGATATCCGCTTGTATTGAAGCTAAATGCAAATAATACATTAATATTTTATCCAATATTTTATGCATCATTAAATAATCCATTAATTAACAATTAGTCGCGTGTCTATGTGTGCGTGTGCGTGTATGTGCGAGTTCATGTATCCTTTTACATCATTAAAGCAAATATTTACATTTACATTCATAATATCCTGTGTGTACTAGTGTATGAGCTTAATAGGAATCGCGTGGCCAATGCGCGCGAGTTTCTATATTCGTAATTTAAATTGCATTCGGCATAGATAAATAATGCAGTTTACGGCCGACGGGTTTCTAATTTCCATCGCTGATCGATAAGCTATACACATTTCACATCCAAGTCCACGTATTACAAGTCCATCCTCCGACCTCTTCACCCTTGGCCATTTAGCTTACGTTAATCAGTAGGCTCAGCATCGTGGCCAGGCAACAGACGACGCCCACGCCCACAGCCTCTCCCCGTCCTTGGCCGGGAGCCGACGACTTGGCGAAATAGTCCAAGAAGCTGTTTAGGCCCGTTCCCGATGACAGCGTCACTGCAATGGCCAATGAAATGTACACAGACTGTGAGAAAATTGTCTATTCAAACGATAGTAATAAATATTCTTGTATTTGGTCTGTTGCGTCTTTTTCTCTCAGTGTCATTCAGCTGGCAGCAACTGCTTTTGTGGCTTACCTCTGGCTGGCACCGGATCCTTTTGCGGTGTGCCCAGCTCGATTTCCTTGTACTCCTGATAGAGATCGCCAATTTGCGCCGTGCACCGAAGGACGAGGCCTCCTCCACTACTGCCTCCGCCTCCGCTACCCGTATAGAGTGAGTTCGTAAGGCCATTGCCATTACCATTCCCATTTCCATGGGCACTGAGGCCGGCCACAAAGTGAATTGCCTGCAGCTGCACTCTCAGACTGAGTCGGGATGCTATTAAATTGTCGCCCGCTTGAATGTATTGAGTCTCATCTGAGTTCACCTGGGGGAAATAAAAAATATGAAATATTATTTAAAAAGTCATAATCAATGGTTTTGTTGTTTGGGGTTCTCTCATTTGAATACTAATCGAGTGCATGCTTAAATATTCTTTAAATTATTCATGACGTAGTTTCAACTGCCATTGCAGTGGCAACTGATTTTCTCTTCCGCTTCCGTCAACCCCAACCGCTTGCCCTTTGAACTTTACAGCCTCCAGTTGCCCCCAGTTATTTTTACACAAGTCGAAAAATAATGTTACAGCGGGCAGTCCACAAAGGAGAAATATTTGCTGGGAAAGGCGAAAAATGGGGAAAAAATAGTGGAGTTTCGCTTCGAGTTTTGTGCAACTGCATATGAATGGCAATTTGTCGTCTGTCTGTTTCGCCAACTTCCCCTGCTCCACCCTCGTGGCGTGTGTGTTTGTGTGTGTTGGGGTTATTACAAGCATGTTGCACTTGCGGCCATGGCTAGCCGATCCTTTAACCAATCCATTGAGAGAAAATAAGGAATAATTTGTTATACTTCATTTAATTTAATAAAACTTAAAAATGTTTTCGCTCTGAAGAGAATTAATAAAAATTGTATACTTGTCTTATTAAGGCTATTATCAGGTTAATAAAATGTCTGTTGATGTATGGTATTTTGGCCTTTGGCTTAAAATTTCTTTGAGTGGATCCCAGCAAGTGGGCCTGCAACTGGGGAATAGCAACTGCAATGAAAGCAGGCAAGTTTCAAGGAAACGGACACTGGAAACGAACGAAACGAACGGACATGGGCATGTCATATTTTGTTGTTGGATGTGGCCAGTTGTGTTGTTGATGGTGTGTTTTTTGTTTTCTTTTTGTTTTTGTTTCTGTTGTTGTTGGTGGTAGTTCTGGGGCCGGCATTGCCATTTAAAAACGAGTTTTCAATGTTACACACAACTATGCCAACAGCGAAAGCAACATCAAGAGACACTTATTCACTCATACGCCTGGTCGGTTTTTTCGCCCCTGCAAGTGTCCGGCATTTTGTTCGAGTGTGGTTCCCTGTAAGTGTGTTTGTCTGTGTATGGTTGTCCATTTGAAGGTTTGCTGGTGTTCTGCATGGGGTCTGCATAACTGTTTATTTGATGTTTGCAGGAGCGCTGAAAATTTCATTTCCGTCCTGACACCAACAGCAGAGCCTAAGCCTAACGCTTGAAGTGTATATCTCTTGCCATACAGTATGCATATGCATATTCACATATAAAAATGCGACACTCCTGTGCTAGCTTTCCGCTTCATTTGCCTGAGTTTTCCACGTCTCCACTCACAATTTCCTTTTGCTGCATCTTTGTCGCTGCCACTGATGCTGCTGTGGCTGCTGCTGCTGCCGTCGTGCGAAAAGAAAACTCTAAACTGGCGTGCAATGCTTTTAGTCGCAAATGGCGCATCGTCCATTGTTGGGAGAATGAAAAAAAAAATATTGCATACTGAGAAGGGCAGGGAGGAAATGCAGGCGCCATTTGAGAAACGCTCGTCCTGCCATTTCCGCTCTGCTGCATGTCCTGTTGCTATTCCATCTCCCCTCGAACGCTCCCACAAGAGTCCACGCAAAAGTTCACATGACAACCTGAGCTTAGCTGGGAGAAAAAAAACGAGCGCCGGAAAACTCGCTGGCAATTTAAATACAATAAATATGCATTTCATTTCCACTTACAAACTCATTTGAGCGCCATTTACTTATGCATGTATTTTCGGGCCCCTTGGCATGGAAAAAAGGGTGTAAGATATTACAGGTTTGGCAGAATTTGGGTCAGGCGGTGCTGGTTCTCAAGGACCTCTTCACCTTCATTTTCCCACCACATTCGCCCACAACATTAAAAGCAAAAGAGCTTTATTGCCGAGCGCTCGCTTTTTGTTGTTGGTCGCCTTTTAACCCTTTTTACAGCAGCAACCAAGTCCCTCACACTTCCACTCACACACACACACACACACACACAACAACAACACCAGCACACTTTCTCACTGATACAAACACATACTCGCAGGATATTTTGTTTTGGGTTTTGTGCGTTTTTGGCTTATCCTTTTTATTTTATTTGAATTTTATTTTTATTTTTATGCTGGCAGAGGCAAAGCCCAGACGCAGCGACATAAAAAGTCATTTTCAGTTTGCTCTCCTTTTTCCCGGTTCTTGTTTCCCCGTCTCTTTCACTGGCTATGCCCTATCTCGCCTCCTCCCTTGGCCGATTTAATGCCGCGTAATTTACGAGACACTCTTAAGAAGCCAAGCGCTTTAATTAAGCATGTGGCTGAGGCAGCGACCCGAAAGTGAAAATACCCTCATATTTCTTGTGATTTACCTTTATTGCATCGAAAACCTTGGGCCCAGGACCTCCCTCGGTATCCTTTAGCTGGCAATTAAATGAACATTTGGCATTTGCTGGCCTAAACATTTTAGCCCGGCAAATTGTTTTCAAACAACATTACCATCCAATGGCCTAGGCTAGCAGAAACAGCAGAAACTTTGCTTGTTTGGGTTGCTATCTGGCCTCTTTGCTTTGGCCAACTTCATTTTGATGGCCAAGCAATTAATATCTTCTTGATAATTTCTGCCAAGATGGGATTATGCAAATTGTGTGGAAAACAGAGAGCCGTTCGAATATATTCTTGCCGTTTTATTAACATTGCGAAATTGCATTTTATATGATGTTATAATTTGTTTAATATTCACCTCAAATAATTGTGCTTTAATTGTAGACACAACCTTAAATTTTCTCCTAGTTTTCGACGACCCGCTTATCGATTCTCTTTAGACAGGTCATCCATTAATCATGGGTAAGCCAAGCTTTAATTATGTCCTTAGTTTTCTGTGCTCAATAAATAATTTATCAAAAATCGATGGCCACACAAAATCCGCTTGTCTAATGGTCAGACTTTCGCTCTAATCCCCAACTAATTCCCATGAATCACCCAACCAAAAAAAGAAGAGTCCTGAGGGGAAAAGAGCAACACATTTTGAGCTACTTTTCCATTAATATGACAGAAACTTTTTAACAAATTATGTGAGCTGTTAAAGTTTTTTTTGTTGTCTCACTATCGCAATGGGTCACACATGGATCCATAATGCTGGGGGACTCGCAATCGGAATCGGAGGGCGACGGCTTTAATCTCAAGCTCAACACGTGCTTGGTCAATGCTTTCAGCTTGGAATTATTTATGGCATTGTTTTGTGTGACAGAGTATTATCCCCGGGCTTCCATCTAATTTAAAGAGCGAGAACAGCTCTGCCGGCCAGATCATAATTCAATATCAAAAAGGCATCTAATGCCGGGCATATGAAACTAAATTGCACAGCCATTGCCGGTAGAATGAAAGCTCTATTTATACACTAAAAGAAAAAATTCGTTGAGTGCTTTTAATTGAAAAGCTTTTATTTTAATTAAGACTTTAAATTATTATAAAATATGATTCTATTTTTCACAAGCTTAGCCTCATATGAACCATTTGAAAATCCTTTTAAAACGTTAATTAATTGAATAATAAATCAAATCTTGTAGGTGATTTACATTTAAATTATTAATAAAATTAATCGTAATTGATTTAGGCTTAATGATTAATTTTAATTGATTTAGGCCTTTTTTTAGAGTGATCAACTTGCTTGTTGTTTTCTCTGCCAACATAAACACAGTAGATATAAAATTTTATGTGACAGACGGGTAGACAAGGCTCTACTATTGCCTGGATCCTGAAACACAGCAGCGTACTTTTGTCTCGGCTTTTGTCATTAGTTGGGGAGTAAGAAAGCTGGTAAGAAAGCGCCAAGCGGCGTCTAGATAAAATGTTAAACGGCCTGCATATGAGCGGTGTAAGCGTGTATGTGTGTGGTCCCTAAAAGTAGACTATAGTCGACAGATATAAAACGACAGGATAAGACACACAAGCCAACACACACACACACACAATCGCACACAGCCTCGCAAATAGAAAGAGAGAAACAAAGCAGACGGACAGAGGACACGTTATGTCTGATGATGTGGGTAGACATAATATAAAAATTTATGAAGCGTTTAATAAGTTTTCTTCTCGTTTTTGGTTTATTTTTTGTTCTCTTTATTTTTCTCCTTTGCCCGTACCCTGGGAAATCGTAGAAAAGTTGAATTCGTTCAGCGGGCGTGTCAACTGAAAATTTGTTCATCTCGTAAATTCATTTAAAAACCGTTGCCGTTGCTGTTGCCGGTTGCCTGATGCCCGTTGTCCCTTGGCCAATGTCCTTTGTCCTTTGTCCACTTTTGCTGCTGTCCGGCAAATTCGTTTTTGCCACAAGTTGAACGTAATTTATTTTATGTCGTGGCTATGATTAATAACATTGGGCCAAAACGAAAAAGGGATTTCGGGGTTAGGCCAGCAAAAGGAATCTGTAGGTCTTGCTTTAAAACGATTGCCGGAAGCATTTCTTTGTTGATTTATGCAACTGATTAGCGGCGTTCGCAGAATTGATGCAGAAATGGTAGCGCCCTCCAAATGACTAATGATGCTCCTCCAGTCTCTCATATCGCCCCAGTATAAAAATATATATGTATATGCATATGACTCTACCCCGTCGTTATGATAAATGACAAAAGGGGGAAATCGCACAATCAAATCACAACGGAGGCGCAACCCTTTTTTGCTTTATTGACTCAATTTTCCCTTGAAGGAGCTTTCGCCTTGTGGCTTTTTGTTGGGGCTTCGGCTTGGGGTTTTATACTCAAGATTTTTAATTAAGTAGGTAAAATGAGCCCCTTGTAATTCAGTCGCCTGGCTCTGATTAAATTACATCATATTCATAAATAAAGAACAAATTTTGTGAGGCACGTCGCCCTGGATTAGACAAAAGCCGCACATGTGCTCGGAACGAGTGTTGGATGCCATTATAAAGGATTTACGATGCCGTTAGGCAAGTCAAAGCTGTTTAATTAGGCAAATCCCCCCCACTTCACCACCACCCACGAACTTGCCCCAAAACTTGGTCCAACCCAAGCATTAATTAACAATCAGTGCAAGGCTTTTGCATACAAGACACATTGATGTCTTAATTGCCGATTGTAAACCGTTTGGCCTTAGGTCCTGTCTCTCCTAATTTCCCGATTTGGTAGCTATAATTATGGAGATGTTTGGTTTTTTTTTCATATGTTGAACTTACCGGTACATTGTTGATGGTAAATCGAAGTTCAGCCCGCGGTCGGGATGGCGAAATACTGCAATTGGCCCGTAAAACATCGCCGGGCTCGTAGCGTGTATTCTCCGTAAAGAGCTGCGGGCGCTTCTCCGGAAACTCTGAAATTATGGAAATGGAATGGTCAGACCTAGTTGTAATACACTAAATCAATAAGTTACATTATGTTGTAACAGTCTTGTTGTAATGAAACCGTTGGGGTTACATTGCAAAGATACTTACCCGCAACTTGCATTTGGGCGTACGCCGTGGCCGTAGAGTATAGCGGTGCATCCGCCGTAACTTCGCAGCTGAATTGTCCGGAGAGGCTGAAGCTCACGTTGCGTATCAGCACCATTGTGGAATTTGAGCCGCTCTCCTGTAAAGAAATTTTAAAAGTCATATAACCGAAAAATCCCGATACGACGAAGTCCAGAAAAAAGAGGAAACTTACGTCCACCCGGATACTGGGATGATAAAAGACCTTTGTGTGAGGATATTCTCCTGGAGTGTAGCGGTAGAACTCAAACTGACCACGGTAGAACTTGATGGAGTACAGTGGTGCCCCGTCCAGTTGGTAATTGCATCGCAGAGCCACCGATTGGCCCCTTCGCACCGCCGGAGGTTGCACCAGCAGGTTGACATCACGCAGCGAAGCCTGTCCGGCATCTGTTTGACAAAAAATAGAGGGGGGATTTGAGATGTGATTTTTAAAATAAAATAGGGTTTTATAAAGGGCTCTGCTTGAAATTCATAGACTTTAAGGTTGGAAATATTTAGAAAATTGAATTTCAAACTACTTATAATCATTCAAGTACATTTGATTTATGTTAAGACTAATAACTGCACTGGAAGGGCATTCGGTGGACATAGACAGTCCTACCAGTCCTAAATAGTGAAAGCCACAACATGGACAGGCTGACATTGCAGGCTTCTCCCGTTCGGTAGCCTGTGACAATATTGAATCAGTCCCGTCATCGTGGCCTCTTTCTTGGGCATCCCACGGGATTAAGAGTTGCAGCTGCGAGCGCACCATGAAGCAGGCTCCAGGATGGTTAAGGCCTTAAGACCATAACAATCGAGCCCATTACCAGGACGAGGATACCAGTAGGCTCTCACCATATACGTACGTGTAACCATTTTCCCTTTTGCATTTTCCGATCCCATCATCTCCATCGTAGTCGATGATGGCAGTCGGCAAAGTTGACTGACTACATCAAAAAGCAATTTTCCATTTGTTTTACAATATGGCCGACCCTGTCGCTTATCCTTGCCACCCACACACGCTTCCCATTCTCACACACAGACACACACACACGCATATTCGCACTGACTGATACATAGACACATCTGTATGACTTCGACGTGTGTTTGCGCCGAGAGTGTGTTTGGCTTTCCATAAACTCGAAAATCGTTTAAGCCGCCTTACGAGAAGTTGTAAACCTCTTTGCTGCCAGTTTTTTTTTGCCTCTGCTCCTGTTTCTGCAGAGGCCCTCTTCATGTCCTATTTTCCTGCTTTTTTTCTCACTCGTTTTGCTATTTTTGCGCCAGTGCTTTGTTTCAAATACAAATCGTGATAGGAACACAGCATAATCAGTACCGTAAAGGAATTGGTGTTACACTGAGAAAGTAACTTCATTTAACTTCTTATATTAATTTTATAAACATATTAGCTTTTGCGTTATTGAGTATTTTTCATCTGCTGAAGAAAGCCTTATAACAATGGAATATTATTCAATTCTTCTCAAAAGTAAGTTAATTGATGGTATTTTGCAAAACTAAACAAAAGCGAGTTTGTAAAATTTTTAAAATTCACAATAAAAGGAATGTTTTTTTTCTGTTTCATATTTACAAAAAATCCCCTTCAATGTTGAACTGCAACGCCCTCTTAGCCCGCTGATGGGGCGTGGCACAATATCCTCTCGACTACTGCTTGTTGCTTTTCCTACTATTTGAGCATTATTCTTCCTGCTGTTTCATCTTCCTTTCCATCGACAGCTTCCTGCTGAGTTGTCTTCTATTTGTATGATTTTATGCCTACTAATTTTTTCGCACCCGATGTCTGAAGTCTGAAGTCTCAGCCTGGGGCCATTTGCCTTTGTAAATTAGGCCAGGCTTAGCTCTACGTCAGCCTCCTGCAGTGGCAGTGGCTGTTGCAGATTTCCCCGTGCTACCCTATGGCAAAGGAGTTGGAGTCGACAGCTTAGCTTGATAAAGGCAATGGTGATGAATTTTGGTCAGAAGTGATTTTTTTAAGCTGCAAAAACTTTATGGCCCTTCGATGGCTTGCTGCTGGGGATCTCTTTCCAAATCGGGTTTACTCAGCAACAGAAGCTTAGCTAGATTTGAAGCCGGAAAACTCTGCATGTGTCCCACAGCCATAATGACCTTAAATTTTTCGATTGCCCTCAACGGTTTTCCTCCTCAACCATTGCCCTTTAGCCCTCCCCTTCGTAATTTTCCTCTCGTTTTCCATGGAAACTTTTATGCAACTTTGCCACGACAAAAGAGGCAAAAAATGGGGGAAAAACGAGAGGAAAATTGTGAAATATGTGCAGCTGTGATCATAAAACGTTTATTGACTGCAAAATTCAATATATCATGCATTCACCATTATGACAATATGCAGTTGCACAAACACTCCCATACAGGACGATGTATGCGTGCCATGGGTGTCGTCAAAAGGAGCAAAATGCTCCAAAGCAGAGTGAGGGAAATAGAGTTGAAGTCGAAGTCATTCATTGTGTTTGCATTCCTTTGATATCAATCATAGGATTTTTCCATTTCCGTGAAAATAAAACAGAGAATATATAGTATACCCTATTTGAGTAAGGGTTGATTTAAAATATTAAGAGATCTTAGTCTTTGGAAAGTTAATTAACTTTTTAGAGACTACGCCTCTGATGTCAATACATATGTAAAAATGCTTCAGCTGTAGGTCCTCCCGCACTTTGATAAACTTTCCCTAACGCAACCGAGCTCAGCTCAGATTTAGTTACAAATGAGCGCGGTAAATGCAATGGGCGGGTTATTTGATGTAGTCTAGCCCCACAGTCTGAAATCTGAGTTCTGGAAACAGGGGGAGAGAGCAGCTGTTGGTAAACTAAAGCCAGACTAACTTTTTGCAGACATGTGAGTTGTCCGAGGCACTCGAAGTGTATGGAAATCTAAAGAGGGAGCTAGAGTGCAAGCCATGTGATGAACTCGGCTGTGATAATTTATGGATAATATTTTTATTGTCCAAAGAAGGAGCAGACGCCGGAATATGAGCGAAGTCGACGCCAAGATACTACCAAAACTAATTTAACTTATTGTCTGGCACTCATCCTGTTTTTCCACCGTTTTTCCAGGAGGTTTTCCGCTTATTCCGTTGCGGTTTTCCGGAGCATGATGTGCAATAATATCTCATAAAATGGAATGGCAACAGAAAAAAATGTAAATGGGGGGAGCCATGTTGTTTGGTATTAAGCTTTAGTTTTTAAGTTATTTTCTCTTGGTGAAATGTCAATTTAGCCAAGCCATAAAAAAAAATGAAAATAAGATAAACAGCAAACAAGCCCCTCTGCTCCTTCTCCTCTTCCGGGTGAAAATTGGTTTTCCGGATGATACGGCAACATCCAATAAAAGTTTTAAAGTTAAACAATCTACGAGGCCGACAATAACAAAATTTTACACATGAATTCTTCATGTAATTACGCGTGGCCAAAACGAAACAAAATTAACAAAAATATAAATTGCGCGGTTGCAACACACAAACAGGATTAAACAGATACACATATACATATATATAGAGGAACGAGCCTCTGGGCAGAGTATATATAAACATATATACAAGTCTGTGGCATTTTGTGATAATTAACGCAATATTTCAGCTACACAAATTACTAGGGACTCGCAATATCGTATAACTTTGCCAACAACAAGCGAAAAAAAAATGCCAGCAATTATTTAGCATAATGCATAAGCAACTACAACAATATACATATATATTTTAGAAAGGGAAAGAGAATGAAAATATTTGCATAAATTTTATACAGCACAAAATTTGAGTTGAAATTACATTTGAAGTGGGTGGGAAAATGCTGGGCAGTGGGACAGGGCAGTGAGTGCTCTACGGTCAACATTTTTGTAGACAAATTGGCGCTGTTACAGTTTTGAAAAGTTTCTGACATATTTCGCTTGGCCACTGTTGGAGAAAGAGAAAGCCAGTGATAGAGTGAAAGAGGCAGGGACAGCCAGAGTGTGTGAGGGAGTGGAGATAGACAAAGCCGGCATGATATAATTATGTGTTGAATTATGAATTGAAATGTTGAAAAGTTTTTATAGTTTTATGTGCTGCGAAAACTTGCCATTCAACTAACATTTTTGGCCAACATTTATTGCTAATTCCAACTGACTGCCAGCGTGAGTGTGAATGTTTTTGTTAGATGTTTTTAATACCATCACATCATCATAAGAAATTATAGTCAGCTTCTAACAAATAATGGCCAGCAAAATGGTGTTGCCTGCCACACTATTGGTATATTTAAATTCAATTACTTTGACATTTAATGGAGGCTGAAGGAGGCACACAGAGAAAATGATTAATTATGAATTATTGCTGACAGACGTGTATTTCCTGTTGCTGGTTGAGGATCAACTTTCATTTGCATGATAATGTTTGCTGACTTGTGTTCTGCTCATTCGACTGTTGTCCTTTCTTCTGTGGCTGATTCCTGTTTTATGGTTGTGTGGCCGTTTTTTTTTATAAAAAGGAGTTTCAGAATTTGGCCAACAGTCAGTCATCAATAAGCCTGTCAGAGGACATGTGCGCAACAGCCATCACATTCTATATCTCCGGCTTTATCTTCGGCTTCTCAGCTTCGTATTTGCATGCGCCCAATAAACATAAAAATGAATGCTTGCCATGTGGGTGGCCTGGCTTTTGTTGTTGTTTCTCGGGTTTTGGCCTGCAGGATGCCACTTCGAATGCTTCACATCATATCAATTCAATTATATTTTATATCACACAGTTGGAACACAAGCCCGAGGAAAACGGCTCCATGCTGTTAACTATGTATATTCCTGTAGTACCCGTCGAGCAAGTATTGTTATAGCTCGGCTTTTCAGACACTAGTTTGATATTTAACTCACACATGCATAGTTTAATTAAATTTTGGCAACCTGGATCATAAGCACCTTAAGAGGCTTATTCGATAATTGTTTTTACCCAGTTGGCTTGGTTCTCTTTGTTGAAAGTTCGAGGTGTTGATTACTTCGGTTTTGTGTAAAATTGATTTTGTGGCTAATTGTTTGGCACACAGCCGTCCCGAGGGCTAATTCCTTCCATTTATCCCAAGCATCATACACGCCCAGGTAAACAAAGGCAATCAGAGAAAGGTGAGGTGCGTGTTTTGGCCCTGGTAACAAATTGCAATGAACAGTGGTTGTGTGTGTCGGGGGCGATTGGGTGCCTGCATGCGGCTGATGAGCCAAAAATAAACCACCACACGAACCTTTTGTAATTAAATGTTGGAAGCAATTTCACGCCCAAAACCAATTCACGCAAGCCCAAAGGTGAGAGAGATTCTACCACTTTTACGCCGCTGCTTTCACTTGTCCTATCTCTTTCCCTCCCACTCCCACCATCTCTTTCTCTCGCTACATGTCCTGTCAGTTTTTGGGGGTTTGGTTTAAATAAATTTCAACAAAATGTGCGTAATTAATGCGCCAAACTGAACAGAGGCCTCTATAAATCGCTGGCCATCAATTTGTCTAGCTGCGGATTAAATGTACATTGAAAATAAATCGTAGCCCATATTTTGAAGTTGAATCATAGTTTTATACCATCAAGGTTTGAAATAGTGGTAAAAGGTTATGGTTTAGGGAGAATCTTCTTGCTTATATCTCGTAATATAGCTTATCTCTTGCTTAACATAATGTGTTTTAAGTATCTAGGGTATTTTTAATGATACTTATGGAGTGGAATATATTTTTTAGCTAAAAACAATCAGAAATTGTTAAAATAAATTTGTTAAGATGAGCCACAAAACCATTTTGCTAGAATTTCTAGTAATGGTTACATTATATTAATGAAATTGTAGCTCATTCGAGTTAAATTAATATTTTGGGCACTTATGGTATTTAGAGGTAAATAGTAATTTTTTTGACCATCTTTTTACCATCTTAACATTTAACACCTCTTAACCTTTAGCCATGAAAACACCATAATTTTTTTTTAGTGCATAACTATGCTTTTGTGCAATTGTGTGGTCAGACCATGTTGCACGCACAAACAGCGGCCTTTGGGTTTTCTTATCGACTGCCACTGGCCATTGATTGCAGTTCATTAAACACGCTCAGGCTCACGCACCGGCTTTCATTTAATTTTCGCTGCTTGCCGGCTTGTGAACAACCCTGTACAAGCCAGTGGCCATTTTGGCCAACACCTGATGACTTGGCTCATTAGCCGGGCGTCTCTTTCACACCAGCTGACACCTGGGCTTGGCCAGTGGGGCCATAACCTCTTCGCTGTGCATATATTTTTATAATGCCCCCACTTGCCCACACTTCGGTCACCTTTGCCGACAGGTTCCTCGCTTTCAACCCCAATCTGTATCTCGGGGCCATTATTGTTGATTGCTTATTCATGCATTCATTCATTTATTCATATGCCAGAAGAATCTTGAGGAACTCGAGTGATGAGCACTTTGCTTGTGTTTGCCTTGTTATGAAAACGAAAGTTTTCCGTTCCTTCGGCCCATAGCCGAACTAGCCGAAAATTAATTGCCCTGCCCGTGCTCGGCTGTTTATATTTTAAATTAATTATAAATATTTATTTATCCTGATTAGCTAAGTGGGTGGCCTGGCCAGAAGCCCCTCCCTTGATATTTCAATCTCTGGTCCCCACACTTCTCTCGCAATACTGGGGCTTAACCAAATTGATTTCAGTTTGTTTTAGCCATGCACAGCTCTTTTGCGGGGCCATCTATTATAAAGAGTTGGCTTTAAAGCCAGCCAACCAGCCAGCAAGCCAGCCACAAGTCCAACCAATCAGCCAACGGCAATGAAACCCCAATTGCACGCCGGCTGTCGATTACTCTTGGTATACACTGGGAGCAAGTAATTAAATCAATAATAACATTGAAAACCAGAAACATACTGCCTTAAGCATTTTTTGTCAGGTTTAAGTAAAAGGAATTAAAACCATTCAGAGGTCATCATGAGGTCATTCAAAAATTTAAATTAGATTATGAAATTGGGGTAAATAATTGTGTATACGTCCTCATGATATTTTCTTCACTGTACTCTTATCCGAGTCAGTTGCCTTGCTAACCGGATTCATTTTTCCCATTCCACTGTCTTGCTCGTCTTTGTGGTTTTCTATAATTGATGGCAGCATCAATTTCCAAACGAAATAATCAAGCAATATAGTAGATGGTCAGGGGAAAAAAGCTGGCCACCCGCCCAGCCACAAGTGTACAGGATGCAGGATATATATCCTACGATAGCCGGCTATATAGTATAGTATATGTATGTGGCCGGCTCACGTAGCCCGATTTGCCATGTTTCGTTGCTTTCCTGCTTTTTTGCTTCCTGAAGCTGCATACTTTCGTGGGCCAAAGTTAATTTCAGGTTTAAGTGGCAGCAACTGCAGCTGCTGCAGCCGAATTATTGAAGGCAACAGCAACAAGGGCAAAAACAGGGACCGGGATTGGGATTGGGATTGGCACTGGGATGGGGATGGGGATTGGGTGAAAACGTTTAAATGAAAAACACGAGTCAATTTATATTGCGCTGCCAACGCTGCTGATGTACCGCTCCCCCTTTGCCGTTTGCCCCCTTTTACGACCACCAATGCGAGCCATTTAATCTTCTTCCATTTCTTGGCGCTATTTTCAAATGTTTTTCTTTGCTGTTTAGCCATTTTTTGCTGGTGTGGCAGTTGTAGCGCTTTAGACAGGGCACAAAAACCAAAACCATATACAAGCGATGTGCTGTGTGTTGGTTTTTTGGCCGGGCATGTGTGTATGTTAGTGTCCTTTTTTTCTTTTGGCCAAAACTGTACAGAAATCTGCACAAAAATGCACGGAAATTCATCTTGATTTGTGTTGAGCGTTTTTATTTATTTCTTTTTGTTTTTTTTTTCCACCCGTTGGCGTTCTTCCCCTGTATATCTTATTCAAGGGCTGGAACTGCTGCCGTTTTTTCATTCTACACATCTCTATATCACTTTGGTTTGGCGGTTTGTCTGCTCTGCTTTATCCCCCCACCACCGCCTTTGGCTTTTTCCCAGGAGGCGTGGCGCACTAAATCAGAGACATTTAAGCGCGTTTTGTTAAAAGTCACTTACTGCACTCGACCATGGCTCATTTGCCGGCTTCTACTTACCACAAAGGACGCCGAACAGGAACAGGAATTGTAGCATGTTGCTGCTGTAGTTGCAACTACCATGGCTGTGATTGTGGAGGCTAGGGCTGTTGCTGCTGCCGCTTCTGCTGTTGCTGCTTCTGGTGATGTGACTTTTGTTTGTTGTGATTTCTGTGTGACAGTGACACCTACGCTCCGTGTCTGTTGACGGCAACATGTTGCCTGCTTTGTGACTTTGCATTTCCGCGTTATTCACGCTGCAGTTGCAATCTGCCTCGGATTCTGCTCCTGCTGCTCTGAGTGATGTGGCTAATGTTGATAGTGTCTGCCACATTGTCAGCGCTCTGCCCGTGCGACACTAATTAAGTGCGATATTAAAGTCTGCTTGTCTGCGCGGTTCTCCGCTAAATTATGCTAATTTATATTCTAATATTTCTTTCACTTTATTACGTATTTTGATTTTCTTTTTTGCGGATTTCTGTTATGTTTTTCGCACTGGGAAACTTTTCAACTTTTCACGTCACTCTCGCTTGCCTTCTCTTTCTGGTTCTGTTCGACTGTCTCTTTCATCGCGTCCTACGACCGCGTCACGCAACCATCAGAAATGCGACTGAACGACTGAAAGACGCACGAAGTCCACCGACGATACAAATGCTACAATCGCCGACGATGTTGCTGCCAGTTGTCAGTTGCTGTTGATGTTGCTGCTGCTGCTTATGTCTGCCGGCAACATGTTGCCTGGAAAATGGTCGACAGTTGTTGTTCCGCGAAATTGTTTGTCTCCTGACATTTATGGATACTTTTAGTACCGCTCCTAATTGCACAAGAGCTCCTCCTCAACGATGCGCCCTGCAATATAGTTGGAAGAAGAAACGAAAGTCAGAAAACATTTCAATTAGTTGTTGACAAAATGCTACCAGGCAAAAATATTAATTTTATTGCCCCTCGTAAACTGTACAAAGTTCCAAATAAAAATTGCTGCCACATTCCAGCGATCGTCACGTGCCGCGGCCGTTTTTCGGATTGATTTATGCGCCCAGGGACCCGTGAGGGATAGGAAATGCCAATGACCCATGGGGCCGTTCCTGATGCCCTATGTGACCCTGTGCTCGGTGCCCATTGACCTTACTCAATCGCTTCGGGGATCGCACAAAAATGTAACCCCGGGACTAATTAGCTGACGGCACCAGTCACTGGAGTCACCGACAACAAAGGCATCCAATTTGGATTTGGGTATTTCGCTGGCCGCTCAGCAATTGGGATTTGCATTATTTACGACTTTCCCCAGTGCTCAATTATGCGCTTCCCTGCAGGAAGCTGCACATTTTCTGCCAGTCCTTCAAACTATCAACTAGCTGCCATCTCTCTTTTCAATAAAAAAAAAAAAAAGAGTTTCGAATCTATCCGCTTCCTGTTTCGGCATTGTTGCAGAAACTGTGTCCTTAACAAAGGGTTGTAATTGTTTCTGGTATCACACAGGGCAGAAAAAGGTGTGTAATTTTCCATTAAAATCATAATAAAGGTCAATTAATATGCCAATTACTTAAAGTAGTTAAAAAAAATGCATTAAAACGTTATAGAACGTTTTTATTAGTGGCGGATGTGGCAAAGTAAAGCCTCCTTTACTTTTGGATTTTGACTTTTTGCCTAAAAAATAAGTTAACTAAGCTAAAAAGAGTATATTTATTTATTTTTTATTTTTTTTTAGCCAAAAAGCTTACTTAAGCTACTGAAAGTGTTACAATTCTGTCCAGTGGATGCAAAGTTTGGCTAATTGCTGGGACAGCTTCGACATTGTTCCATAAATTCGCAGCTGACGGAAAATCGTGCGTTGAAACCAAAAATCACTTCCGCCTGGTCATCGGCTTTCGGATGGGGTAATAGAGGGTTAGGGAGGCGTAAAGGGGCGGGGCACAACCGAAGGGCTGCACTTCACACATCATTTCCTCTGCTCAACATTTATTATGCCATTTGTGTGAGACCGAATTGTCACAATTAGTCGTCGGGAGTGGGAACGGGAGGCAGCCAAGGGCCACAATGTTGCAGCTATATATAGACCTGTCCCCCGATTTTTCCCTGCGTAGACCCCTTACCGCCTCTTGGCAGCCCCCATCATCCACTCCACCATTGTTGAGAGGCCTCGGATTCATTTATAATATTTTGTCATTGTCTGGTCCTGCGCTTGCTGTATTTTATTAATTTGTTTGTCATATTTTCACGTTTGTTTATTGATTAAAATGTGCGCACAGGCGTCTGACATTTCTGAGCGGGGTCTGCTGCCACCCGTTGTTGTTGTCCCTGCGGTTTCGGATGCTGTTGCTGTAATCTTTTCCTTTTTTTTCATTTGTTGTAAACATGTGTTGCCAGCAACATTATCACTGCTGTTGCTCTTGTTTCTGGTGTTATTGCCGCTGCATTGTTATTTTTATTTCACCCCACAACACCCCACACTTCTGTTTGCTGTCTGGTATTTTAAATAAAACATCATTTTTTGTAATTGTTGCCTCAGTGTGAAACATTCTATTGCCCCATCGTTCGCTCCCATGCCTTCCCCATTTCCCTATTTTTTGTTTACCTAGGCTACAGTTGCAAACAATTCCTCTTCGACCCGGCCTAGGCCCATGCCCCAGCCCAGCCCAGCCCCACTTTTCCATTTTCCCTGTTTTGTTTGTACAAATTATTATGAATGATAATTTTGTCTGTCGCATTTTTCATGCATTTTTCCATCCTCTGACGCTTTTATGGCCTCTATTGTTGTTTTTATGCCTGTGGCTTTGTTTTATGAATTTCATAATTAATTGTGTTTGACATATTTTATATGCTTTGACTTTGCCTTGCTATCCATTTTTACATTTTGATTGATTTTCCCTAATATTTTCTCATTTATCATCATTGAAAACCAAAGGCAGAGAGTGCAAACAAAGGATGGAGCATTGAGTATTTGCAATTTGTTGTTTTACACGCCACAAAAGAAGACTTTTCTAATTTTTGTATGTATGCTCATACTTTATTCTATTCATTTTAATTAGCTCTAATACAATTATTGACTTAAACCCCTAGAAGTCACTGTCAGGCAGAAAACATCTGTATTGTAATTGTAATTGTCGGTTGGGGCCATTCTTTCCTCAGAAGAGAATTTCCACATGTGTAACTGAAGCTTGTCGCTGGCATTTGGCATGTTTTGGCCAAAAAGATAAATGACAAAAGACAATTAGCTAACTGAAAGAGGGAAGCCTCTTAGACTTCTCCATCGCGAGTTGGTTTTAATTAAAAGCAGATTAGCATTGCGCGTGCAGAAAATTTGCGTGGGAGGCCGGTTGGTGAACTCCCGACTCGAGCCACTTTTCCAGGAAAACGATTGCCCCCCAACCTACCCGAATTTTCTTTGTGTTCGTTGGGGTCGGCAGTCAAACGCAAACTCATTCGCTTTTCAGGCCATTTCAGGCGCATTTGTCTGGAGACATTGACAATGACAGCGGCTCAAGTGTAGCAAGTATGTATTTTCCGGGGGGTATTTGGGTGGTTCTTAGCTTGACTGTTCCAGACAATTGCCGGCATAGCATAAAGCCAATGGCATTTTGAGTGCCTTCTCTGTTACTTTTAATTCCAGAGCTTGAATGAAAATTTTGAATGCATATTCCTTAAATGCAACACTCCTTTGAGTGTGGGGGATGTCGGACGCATGGTTCTGGATATATTACTCGAAAGGCCTTGGTCGTTTCCCTCCGTGTGCAGCAACTCCTTGTTACTCGCCACATCAGTCACCGCTCACTTGACACATTTCGCCTGCCATGACGCAATTGGCACGAAAACATGCCCAGCACATGGGCAATAAAAGTTGCCAGCTACTCCAGTTGTTGCTCCTCTCGTGCTGATGACTTAAAAATAGCTACAAGTTTTTCACACCAAATTGCCAGAGCGTTGGGGCGTCGGGGCGTCGGGGCGTCGGGGCGTGCCAACAAATTGAAATGTTGAGTTCCAAGTTTCGGGGCTTCGTCAGACTATCAGCTGTCAGGTGAGCATGAGACTCAGTCGGAGAAAGTCTCTTGGATTGTCATAAATCTGTCGTTGCAGCCGATGACATTGATCCCGGAGGTGGTGCTATATTGGGATGGTTCCGGACTGTTTCAGTGGCTAAGCTAGCAGCTCTTCCTGTCGCAACCAACCCAAAAGTTTAAATGCCCATTGGCTTTGTTCACAGAAAATTAAAGTTAGCCTCAGGTTAATTACCCTGATATTTAGGTGTGATTAACCGATTAAACCAAAAATAGATGAAGCTTATTATATTTTTAAATAAATGACTAAGTTTTGGGTTTCAATTTTGGTTAAATGAGAGTTGAAATTATCCCTTTTAATTGCAGTGAATGATGCATAATTTTTTTTACATAATTAATGCAGATTGTGGATAAATGCACTCTCATTATATACCCTTTAAAATTTATTTTGCCCGCCCCATGATCGGCATGCGGTTAACCCCCCTGGAAGCCACCTGCCCCGCTCCACAACTCGACCCTCTTCATGTGGCAACTTTCCCACATTTGCGGTTCTTTCAATGCGGAGACTTCTGCATGAATGGCTTTTATTCATAATCATATTTTGTAAATTCATACGAATTCATTTTGGATTTTTTTTATTTCACTGATTGTGTTTTTTTATACCCTTGCAGAGGGTATTATAATTTTGTCCAAAAGTGTGCAACGCAGTGAAGGAGACATCTCCGACCCTATAAAGTATATATATTCTTGATCAGGATCACCTCCTGAGTTGATATGAGCATGTCCGTCTGTCCGTCTGTCTGTTTCTACGCAAACTAGTCTCTCAGTTTTAAAGCTATCGTCTTGAATCTTAGCACACACCCTTCTTTCTTTTGCACGCAGTATATAAGTCGGAACGGCCGGGATCGGCCGACTATATCCTATAGCTGCCATATAACTGATTGATCGGAAATGGTATAACTTTGGTGTTTTTAGAGTTAGAGAGTTCAAATTTGACATGAGAGCTATTTTTGGCAAAATAATACGACATGCCAAATTTCATAAGGATCGGCCGACTATATCCTATAGCTGCCATATAACTCAACGATCGGAAATGACCCAACTTTCGTGTTTTTGAAGATAGAAAGCTGGAATTTAGTACAGACTCTATTTTTGGTTAGTTGATCCAACCTACCAAATTTCATTAGGATCGGCAGACTATATCCTATAGCTGCCATATAACTGAACGATCGGAAATGACCCAACTTTTGTGTTTTTGAAGATAGAAAGCTGGAACTTGGTACAGATTATATTTTGATCCATCCTACCAAATTTCATAAGGATCGGCCAACTATATCCGATGTTTGCGATATATATCCGCTTTTAGCTGCAAGGGTATATAAACTTCGGCTCCGCCCGAAGTTAGCTTTCCTTTCTTGTTTTCAAGTGATTTCAGTGGCAACTTGACTTTGAATCTTTGCGCAGCTGCTTCTGTTTCCACTTTTGATGCCGCGAATTAATTAAAAGCTTCGCCCCATAGTTTAGAGAATGCTGGGCATTGTTGTTGGGGCTTAAGCTTCTGGTGATGCCTGCCACGCCCATTTTAGTATTTAACTCGCGATCCGCTGAGCGTGCGAAATTTATAAATGAGGCAACAAGACACAGAGCTGGAAATTCCCGAGAACTTTTGAGCTGAGTTGTTTTATGGTTTGTGCGGAACTTAAGTCATAAATAGGATTGCAGAAAATGGGTCTGGAGGCCATGTCCTAATGGAACTTGTTTTTACTTTCACTTTTTTTCTTAGCTCATCTCAAAAAGCATCATAATTTTAGGAACTGATTTGGTACGCAGCCCGCCTGACCCAGCTAATAACAT